ATGTCTTGTGGTCAATAAAGTTTCAATAAATAAATAATTAAGACGGATGATTTTCTGGTTTGAGAATGCTCGAGTTTTTAGTAAAAGAAGTTACTTCATTCATATTGTTTTTCTGTATTTATCTTTTCAAATGAAAGATGCCAATAGATGTCAAATCAAATAAAAATTATCTTGATTTTGTAGATAAGCAGATTACACTTGAAGTCGTCACATTTATACAATTTTTGAAACCATACACGTTTATGTAATCCCTAATAGAGTAACATCCTCTCTTAGAGTTGCTTTTACATGATTTTTGAACTTTGCAACAGATAAGTCCAAAACAGCTTGTGGTACCTTGACATATAAAAGAACCGAGAACCCTCTGAAGTCTTAACTTCGGTAACGCGAGCTTCCGAGAGATGTCTAGTATTAAAATTATGCACGTCATTCCGTTTATTATACAATTCATTATTCAGAGACGCACAAAAAGTATATTTATGGGTAATTTATCTATTGGTATGTTTCATTTGAAAAGATAAATAAAAGTTTTCTTTTCAAACTTAGTAATGACTTACTGGGAGTTCCAGAGCGCTTAGATACTACGCTTCGCGTCACAAATACATTTTAGGGCTATTCAAGGTTAGAGTAAATGGTTATTTACTAGATAAATGCGTAACATCTTTGGCTATATCTTCGCTTAACATCAGCCAAGAATTCGACAATTTTACCTTTAAAAAAAAACATTAATGAGTGTCAACAATGGTAATTACCAAGCTATCAATTGCAATTACCAATATTGGCCTACAGCTTATCTAGTATTATTTTTTAATTTCTTTCGACTTTGTACTATATATCTGTGCATATATCGGACTGCCTCTGTGGCCGAAGGGTTGCCATGTACTGCCACGCTGAGGTCCCGGATTGGATTCCCGCGCAGGGAGAAATATTTGTATGGCCTACATTTATTTCTCTAGTGAGTTTAGGTGTAATTTGTGGTTGTCTATGTGTGTGTCCATGGCACCCGCGATACAAGGTTTCGCTAGTGCGCGAATTTGAGTGTGTGCACGTTATTATTATTGCTATAAAAATTATAATTCCGTACGCAAAAGTATGATTAATCTTAAACTGCCTCCTAAACGTAAACTGCCTCCGTGGCCGAACGGTTACCATGCCGGACTGCCACGCAGAGGTCCCAGGTTCGATTCCCGGGCTGGGAGAAATATTTGTATGGCCTACATTTGTTTCTCTCGTGAGTTTGGGTGTAATTTGTGGTTGTCTATGTGTGTGTCCATGGCACCCGCGACACAGGGTTTCCCTAGTGCGGGGCTATGTTGAGTGTGAGCGTTATTATTATTATTATTATATATATATTATATATTATCTTGTCGGCCTTAAAGCCTATTATCTATTTTCACAACTCCACGGTATTTAATCAAAGAATGGAATTTCGTTTCTATTTTTCTATCGTGACTGCACAAAATCTGCCTTAATAGAGCTAATACTGTCTTCTCTAAAAAATAGAATTTTTTATTTCATATATATAACAGCAATAAAAAAAAATTGATTGTAAAACAAAATTAGAATAATGCAAAAAAACTTTCAATAAAAACAAAATTACAATTTCTTAGAAAGAAATTCATTTGTATGTATGTAATTTACAGAAAGAGAGATCAGTGTGTCAGCGGATAATTTTTGTCAGTGGTGCAGGCTCGAAAACATTAATGAGAATTTATTATACAAATTGTTGTAATTTAAATAAAATAACACTGACAATCTCGCTTCACGACACTGACCTCTACTAGAAAAAAGTATAATAAAATTTTTTGTACTCTGAAATCAATTATCAAACGGTGTCACCTTATTTACTTTGTT